AATCAATTTTATTTATATAACCCTTTTGCTGATTTTGAAAGTGTTACATAAACAGGACAGGTGAAATATTATCATGTAAAGAACCATAAACACATGTGAAGACCTAGGTTTACAATTTATGATTAAAACTCTATCTACACAATATACATAGACATAAAATTTAAAAACGTAAATACCTTAGAAATAGTAGCAAATCAGTTTTAATTGTCATATTTGAATTCAGCACATCAAATTACATAATAAATAGCACATTTTATCTCTGAAGCAGACGACTTCTCAAAAATTGTAGACCAGTGTTATTTTCTGGACCACCTTCCCGAATAAAACTAGAACAGACTACAGTAACATGGATGACACTGCGTTGCCTGAGGACACCCTGATTTTTGGACTTAATAGAGCTGAAATTGGGACTGCCATTGCAGCTCCCAAAGATTTAGGACATCTCATAAGGTCTTCTGCTTCATCTATACATGAACTGGCTGCATCTAATAGCCTGCCTGACAGAAGAGAACTGCAGTATTGTTGGGTCTATCCTCCAAAGTCATTAGAACACTTCGTTCTTCTAGAAGAGTATCTGCCTTGAAAGCGTACTCCTTTATCTGGTCCAAGTTTTGCAAATGGTGACAGGAGCACAAAGCAAATCTTAGAAATCCAGGAATTCCATCTATCTTGGATTTTTCTTTAATAAGGCTTCAGCAGAGATCTCCAGCCCAGCACCATTGAATGTCAGGTGTCTGCGTTTTTTGTTCATCCAAACTTGCTTTCTAATAGCCATCACATCCTCCAGATGAGTGTCAGAGCTGGCAACATGCTCGATGCAGGAACCTTTAGTGTGTGTTTCATAAGAACAAAGTGGTGTTCAGAACTCTAGAATCATTTATCCTGAAGATGAGCTCTTCTTTCCACAGTTCTCAAGAGATGGTTCTTCCTTCCTTCTGTCCAAGGCCACAGCATTCCACTGAGGAGAGGTGGCACATCTCTGATGCCAGAAGGGCTCTGAAAATTTACCTCAGAGTCCACAAGGAAATTGGGGGCCCCGTTTGTATCCTTCCATTTAAAATGCCAAGGAATCAGAACTTCCAAATCCTCTACTGCGAGATGGATTAGACCATTCACCGTGAAAGAGCACAAGGCATTGGAGATTCCAGTTCCAGAATGTGTCAGGGCACACTCCATGTGATCCCTGGAGACCTCTTGAGCAGAAAGAGCTAATGCATCCACTGTGGAAATTTTGTAAGGTGGTCACCTGGGCAAATGCTACCATTTTTTGTCAAAACACTACAAGGTGGACTTCCTGTTCTCTGCAGAGGTATCCTTTTGGCAGGAAGGTACTGCAGGTAGTGACCTGGAAATTGTTTTGCCTTTGGAGCCAATATTCTAGATGGGGAGGGATGCTGTTTTTCCTTTCCTTTCTGATCTTTTCTATAACCCTCTCTCCCTCTGCTTGCTACTTCCCATTGGTCAAGAATTGTGGGAGATGCTGGGCTGCAGAATGGAAAATTTCTTACTGATTTCCTTTCTGATAGCAAGCAGTCTCTCCCACAATTCTACCCACCCCTGGATGGCTCATGAGTCAAGGGTTGAGTATAAAGTGAAATTGTTACCATGAGATCATCTTCCTTGGTCTAATATACGTTACTTTATCTCTAGAATATTTGTTAATGATAGGCAAGTTTTACAGTGTGAGAATAAATCTCCTGGAAGCAAGCAGGAGTTGAGGGGACATGGCCAGACCGTGCAGCTCCAAAATGCTGATCCGCCTGCAGGAGCTGCAGAGAGAGGAAAGCAGCCCCGATATTAAGAACTGTGGGCGATGCTGCTAACAAAAGAAATTATTCGTAAGAAATTTTCCATTTGTCACTTTGAGGCACAAGCAGGTGAGCCTTGTTCTGAGACCAACTGCCGGTGCCTCAGTATCTGTATTCCTTTGAGTGGCAAATTAAGAACTCTCCCAATTCTAAGGACTGGTCACTTAGGAGACCTGGCTTACACCAATTTAACAAAACCTGTTTTAAAACATGGTTTTTGTTCAGTGCAAATCTGTGTGGCCACCCTTACTTCATAATAAGTGGCTAAAATTGATTTGTCCAACCTTAGGTGAACTAACTTTAGCCACTTTTATTTTATTCTGAAGTGCCCACGCAGACTTGTGCCAAAATAACTAAATCTCTTTTTAATGTGCATCTCTTTATTTTCATACAAGTTTGTGTAGATCAGCACTTCATATAATAGATTCTCAAACATAGTCATGATAGAGCAAGACCATAAAAAAAAGTAGAAAATCTTGCTCTGCTCCCTACATCTGAGGGAATGCAGGCAGGTGAGTATAAATTCAGTCAGATGAGATCCTCAAAGACACACAACTACATGTATTGACCAGATTTTTTTCCTTTTTGAAGGTAAAAAGCAGTGTCTTAAATACATAGTCTTCAATCATGGAGGGTCAAAATTGTTCAAGATAGTTTCATATACCCACAACAATATGAAAAATACCCAAATCCTTGTTCAAAACAGGAGATGGCAGAGAAAAGGGGGAATATTGAACAGACTAGGAACAGCCACAACAGCTTTCTTCTAGGATTGTTCAAAAGACCATCTATGTAAAAAATATGATTTATGGGATCAGGATCAATTTCTTCCAAACAAGTCTCCTCCCTCCCTCTCTTCCTTCATATTCTCAATCCCCAGTAGCTTGGAACTCAGCACCTTCATGTTATTACTGGTATTTGAGTTGTTTAATGGAAACCTGTTAACATTATGAAATTATAAAATGTTTTGTTTTTTTCTTATAGGAAGAAATCTACTTCATCTTAACCTAATTCAGTCCTGCTAATCTGCTAATATTGTAGATTGAAAGATTTTTGCTGTTGCCAGGATATCCTGTAATGGGCAAGGAGCCACAGAGAATACAAATCGTTTTGTTTTCTTAACCTTTTTAAAACTTTTGTTAACAGGTAAGAAACATTCCTATTACATTTCATCTATGGGGACAACTTCTCTCCCTCCTCCCCTTCTCTCCCCTCCTGCCACCATAAGGCATCGGTTTAAACATTTGGTGGTTCCTAAGTGCTTTAGTCTGTCATCTTTTCTTTCTCCCTGATACCTCTCCCCGTCAGAAAGGCTTACTTACATTATTTTTGTAGGACTCAACTGTTTTCCTTTAGCTGTTTTTCCCTTTTTGCAGTTTCTCTTCTGTAGCCAAGCCCTTCCTTCTTTCCTTTGCAGCTTTCTTCAAGTCATTTTTCTCTTTCTTCCTAGCTGGCTGTTTTCCTTTGTATCCTATACCACTGTCACCACTACCACATCTGGATGACCCCATCCACGTTGTCACAAATGTAGCATTGTGATGACCTTACTATTGGTTTTACAATGGATATTTTAAACTATTGGGGTTTGTGCTAGGAAGTTTCACAGTTGCCACTGGTATCTGGCATGGGGTACCAAGACTGTTAATGCAGATTCAGTTTGTTTACTCTGTTTTGTTGTGGGTCCCCCCCTCCCCCAATTGTGAGGTATTTGTTTTAAACTAAGCCAGGCATAGTGCTCAAGTTTGGGGGAAATTTGGGGACTTCAGGAAGGTCACTTGAATCTCTTTCAAAGCAGTGACTGGGGGAGAGGGAAGGAATTTTACCATCTTTTGGTCCAGTAGTGTAGGGAGCGCCAGTAAATCTATATTTTTAAACAGCCCATTTTAAAAAGTCAGTTGTTCTTTGACTTCATTTGAGAACACAAGGCTCATGTTTCAGTACTGTGTAATCAAATCCTTTACTAGTTCTTTTGCTATTGGTTCTATCACAGAAGAAATGGTAGCTATCCAGCATTCACAGCATCCATTCTCTGTGTGCTGGAAGAAATTGTTTCTGAACAAACGTGTTCATGGATTGATGCACACTTTTGTGGACAACTCTTCCATCAGAGGGTCTTGCTATCAACATTTGAAATAATAGTGATATTCCAGTCTACTTCTGCATCTGAATTCACTTTTTGCAGCAACCTGTACACACACTAAACTGAGACTGACAAATTGTAAAATTACTTAGACTGCATAGCTAAGCACCTTGCACATCTCTAAAACATAAATGAACAGTCTGCTTAGCAGAAGGCACTGTGATACTTTATTCCCATTAGTAGACTATATTATTGTATTAGTTGGTGGGAAAGCAAAAATGTTCTAAACCTTGCAAATAGCATTTCTTAATTTCTCATAGCATTTCTCATATTTTTTTATTGCTACTAGTGAACCAGCCATGTTCACATCTGGAGTGGGTGATTCAGTTTTTACTTACACTTGTGTTTAAATTAAGAGTCCAGACTAATTCAGCATCTTTGCCAGTAGCTTTGAAGATACTGGGGTGGAGTGGGGGGATTAACAAAGAGACATTTGATTCTTTTGTCTCAAAACTCATATTGTAAGTTCATTGATAACATAGTAATAGTGAAGACAAGGTAGATTATTACAACTTGTTATGTAATCTAAATATCCAATACTTTTGTTAGTAAATATTAACTAGTTTGGACACTGTTTGTATACTTATTAGGTCAGAGCAGTGTATATTTGGGGGCTTCAGCAATAAGTCTTAATGAGGGTCTGTATACACTTATACAGAGTTGTGATCTAGCTAGAAGATCAGCTGCTGTTCAACTGGGAAAATACATACTCACTCATATTAGGAAGTAACCACGTTCTTTCTAAGCAACCTGTTGAATATTCCACGAACATAGCAGGACAGAGCAAGAGTGTCTTCTTTTAAGAGAATGGTATTCAACCATATATCTGTGGAATGTGCCTGTTCTGTCTTTTTAGCATTTTTAATAGAGGCATATTTTCCTAGTTCAGTCTGAACAATGGAGCCAAATAGGAGTTTTTCATTCTCAATTTGCTTAAGAGCAGCTAGGTACATTTTAAGGGGAAAGCTTTTGTGTGCAGAAATTATGCAGTTAAAGATGAGATATATGATAAATTGTGATTAAAGGTCAAACTTAAGAGACAGTTCAGTCAACAAAACTAATAAAGGCTTCACAATGTGGGACTAGAAAACGCTTCGCCTACATAACCAAAGGCAGCTCTGGAATCATAAGGATTTTGGACTCCGCTGGAAAGAGGATGCAGTACTTTCACTTGATTATATCCAATATTTTAACTCTGCAACCAGAGCAGTACACTTGAATATGTATTAACCACTTTGTGTGAAGCAGAACATATCCTGTGGTTTCCTAGAATGCAAAGAGCTTGAACTCTTTTTCATCATAGTAACAGAGAATAGCATGTTCTTTTTATCACCTCGCTTCTGTGTACCCAATAAGATTGAACTATAAAAACTCCACTATACATGACTATTTTTCTTAAGGTACAAGTTACATTTATTTGCTAAGAATGAAGGACTCCTGAACACATTGTAAATCAGTACAGCTGTATCTTGGAATTTGAAACCGTAGCTATGGTTTTAATATTGAATAATACTTTAGGAGCCTTACTCTAGGATCCTCACTATTTTCTTTTCCTGTTCTGTAGAATGTAACAGAGGAGAAAATGTAATCATTTTAATTTGAGAAGCATAATATAAAAATTGACCATAGCATTGCTTTCTTTTATGTAAAAAAAGAAAAATTGTTTAAAAAAAATCATACTAAGGGTTCTGGGTAAGTAATTTTTCAATCACTTAAGAAATTTGGATGAAAAGCAAGGAAATGAATAGCTTCAGTCAACATCTGTACCAGGGGTGGGCAAACTATGGCCTGTGGGCCAGATCTGGGCCACCAGCCGTTTTAATCCAGTCCTTGAGCTTCTGCTGGGGAATGGGGTCTGGGGCTTGCCCTGCTCTGGCGCTCCAGCCAGGGAGCACAGTTGGAGGCTGCTCCACACGGCTCCTGAAGCAGCGGACATGGTCCCTCTCTGGCTCCTACGCGTAGGGGAAGCCAGGGGGCTCTGCTCTGGACGCTGCCCCCACCCCAGGCGCTGCACCCAGAGCTCCCATTGGCCAGGAACCGCAGCCAATGGGACCTGCAGGGGTGGTGCCTGTGGACGGGCCAGCATGCAGAGCCGCCTGGCTGTGCCTCTGCGTAGGAGCCGGAGAAGGGACATGCTACTGCTTTTGGGAGTCGCTTGAGGTAAGCGCTGCCCCGAGCCTGCACCCCTGATCCTCCCCTCGTGCCCCAACCCCCTGCCCCAGTCCTGACCCCCCCATCTGCCCTCCTAACCCCTCGGTCCAAGCCCAGAGCACCCTCCTGCACCCCAAACTCCTCATCCCCAGCTCAGAGCCCTCACCCCCACCCCCCAATCCCCAGCCCAGAGCCCCCTCCCGCACTCTGCACTCCTCATGTCTGGCCCCACCCCGGAGCCCGCACCCCAACCAGACCACTTACCCCCTCCTGCACCCCAACCCCAATTTTCTGAGCATTCATGGCCCGCCATACAATTTCTATTCCCAGATGTGGCCCTCCGGCCAAAAAGTTTGCCCACCTCTGTGCTACACCCATCAAGTATAATGAAGTGCATACTTCAGGGGTCAGAATTGTGTTGTGATGAACGAAAGCTTATGCTCAAATAAATTTTAGTCTCTAAGGTGCCACAAGTACTCCTGTTGTTTTTACTTGGATTTTGGTTGTCTGTATTTCCATTTAAGGGATAGTTAACTGTGAAATTCAGTTACTTAAGATAGCAATGATTTCTTTACCAAAAATTCTGTTTCTTGAATGTAAAATAATCTGTATGTATGGACTTGAAAAGTTATGGAGTTTTGAGTTTTGTAGTCAGTTGACATTCATGAAAGAGTAGCATTTATTTTTGGGTCATAGTTTAATTAGCGGTGACTTGTGAGAATATGCATTTCTAAATGCATTGTTAATATTTGTGGGAGTTGTAACTGGTAATCAACAATTCACTTTTTGTTTGTGTTTAAGCATGGTGAGTAAGTACATGTCGTCATCTAATGGCCTTAACTGGTGATTCAAATAAAATTTGATTGGATTTTTTGGAAGCTTCTGGTAGCCTTTGCATCGAACTTTTTTTGCATCTTGGGTGACCCATACTTATGTTTAAAGGTGTGATGGGCACTGGCCAAAATACAATAAATGCTGGAAACCAGTAGCCATATTTACCCTAGTGATCTCAAAATTGCTATAGGGGAGTGGGGAATCTGTCAGTGAAAATGTACTGCTTATAGACAGCATTACCCCAATGTCCTTACTGAAAAAAATTGGTAATTAGTGGCAGTTGTAGAATGTATTCTCTGGCTTTTTCTTGTCAGCTTTACTAATAAGCATTTATCTAATTTTCAAATAATATCCATTAAAAATCTGATTATGCTTGCTTTTAAAAATTCTCACAAGCCAGTTCAAAACATATCTGCTTAATAAGCATTTATAAAGCATTTATCACTGTGCTATCTAATTACTGTTAATGGATTTTAAATACAGTGAGGCTGCCCAGCATTAGTGAATAAAATCTACTTGTGGAGAACCATTGGGCTGGCAAAGGGACATAAACATTTAAAACTTCGAAAAGGAGCTACTTTATACATCTCTCTAACTTAGTATATTCAGAAATGTCAGTTCAAATTCTAGTTGATGAAAACCCCTGAGAATTTTTTTGGGGGTGGGGGGTAATGGGAGAGGGGGAGAACTTTCTTTACAATAGGACACAGATTGTAACCTTAACCCTGTAAAAGCTACTGCATCTCCAGAATATCATGCAACCTTCTTTAGGTATGCAGTAGTGGAGTTCCTCTCCTCTTAACTTCCATGGCCTCTTCTGTCCCTCCTGTGGGCTGTTTGAAAGTTATCTGCACTCTGCAAAGCTAGCAGTCATGTTTTCCTCAACTAGTTGATCTGCAAGGAGGGTAAGAACCTGAGGCTGCCCTGAGCTAGAGATAGTGATTCTTTAGTCTATGGGTTAGGGTCTGTCATTAGTAGTAAGTTCCAGTGTCTAGCGTGACTGGTGACAGGTTGTTTCATGCACACTTGCATGTGTATAGGAGGTGGGGAGGAATTTGTATGATATCTTGTACCATAAGATAAGTAGTTGTGTGATCATACAAGACCATTGTAATGCATATATATTATTGTTGAATGTGCAATCATAGTTTTCACACTTCCTGACTCATGAATGTGTAGCCATGCAACTTTTTAATACAGCTTTCTGTATGGTCAGTCCTACTCTTCTAAAAATTCCAATTTTTTTATGGGATTATGGGATCTCTGGCTAGAGAGTTGAAATAGTTTCCTTCTCACCTTGGTTGATCTGAGATGGGGCCTTCTGTGGAGACCCATCTTGTTCAGTCCTGATGTGCTAGGCTGTGTAGTTAACATGCACATCTTATCTCCATGTTAAATGCGGATTTTTAAAAAGAGATCCTATCAAGTTAGCAGATGCAGGACATAGAGTAGTCTCTGTCTGTCGAACCCTTTTAGGTTTCAGTGTTTCCTATTCAAGAGAATGTCTGTCTGTCTGTGTGTGTCTGTCTCTCTCTCTCTCTCTCTCTCTCGCCTTTAGTTACTCAGAAAAATGGAGTGGCTAATCATGCTTTGCACTTGTATAGGAGATTTCAATGCACTTTCAAATTTAGGTAAGCATTACTGACTTTTACAGCAGACCTAATTAGAGATTTGAATAAAATTGCCTGAGAGGCACCAGTCTAGTACTTGAGACATGGGCCTACTACTTGAGATTGGGGTTCTGTTCCCAGTTCTGCCACAGACTTACTCCCTTTGTCAAGACACTGCAAAACTTGAGGAGCCATTTTTGTCTTAAAATGCTCACCTTATTCAAAGCTTTTGTTGAAAAGGAATGTGGTCTGAATCTTAAACATTTGCAAGTATGAGGATATTTTATTTTTTAGAGGATCAAAATCAGCCAACTACGGGAAGGCTTCCATCTAACATTAATAAACCGCACACATCTGCCACACCTGGTCCTATAACTCCAAAACATGGGTGGCTATCTCTTGAAGTGAAAGAAAATCTTTGGCTCTTACGTCTTTTCTAAGCTTCTACCACCCAATGGAAGGTAACATACTGATGCACGTAGTTACCAATCTTGCTCCCACTGAAGACCATGGCAAACTCTCATTGACCACACAGGGAGCAAGACAGAGCCGCAAACCACTCTCAGTAAAAATTATTAACTTTGCCTGATTGCAATACCCTTTCTTCAGCTACAACAGGCATGTGAATTTTCCAGGAGACTCTGCTGTATGGAATGTTTGAAGGGATAATTGCTTTGCTAAAGGGAAGCAAATAAACATCAGCAAGTTAAAATTTCAAACCAGCCTAACTTCTTAATGATCTATAATTCAGATAGTGACACTTTCTTCGCAGTTTGTAGGTACTGTCTCTCTTCCTTTCAGAGTAAATTGGGCAATTTCCTGGCCAAACCAATTTTGGAAGTTAAGTTGGTTGAAATCTTTACTAGTAGAGAAGCTGCAGCTTCTTCAAACATTTGATTCCAGTTCATTTGGGATTTTGAACTACGTTATTTTGCACTAACTTGGTCTGTTTTTAAAAAAAGTGAGTTAAGAGAACTTCTGAAAAACACACACTACAAGTTTATGGTGACACATAGGCATCTTATTGGGCTTGTGTATGTAGTCTGTCTGAAAAGAGACAACAAACAAAGCTAACTAGCGAAATGTTATAGGCGATGTTAATCATGCTCTAAGAGCTATTTTGCCAGCTGTCGACTTCCATGGTATTCATTTTTTTTTAAAAAAAAAACCTTCTCAATTCTAAGAGTGACTCTTATAAAGTTATCCTGAAGCAGTTGCTTGTTTTGATACTTACTTTTGAGCATGCTTCATGTTTAAAGTCTCAAATTTTGCATCTTGAATTGAAAGCAACAAACATGTTTTCAGGCGCTCTCACTGATACTGAGAGCAACTTTGAGTACAAATTGGGCTTTGGAGATGGTTGAAAATCTAAAGAGCAAGCTATAATGAATGGCTCTTTTTGGGCTGTGGATGTATTGGGCCTAATTCTACTCCTATTGCGGTCAATGGGAGTAGGATTGTGTAATCATACATGAAAGTTCCCCTTTAAAGAATAGGAATCTTTGGTGGGGGAGGAGGTAGAAGAAAACTATCAGTAGAGATGGAATTGTCACTTGCCTGTTTTTCAAAGTTGCTGTGCTCATTTGGAACTGCTCTAAGTCCTCTAGGTAACTGCCAATCATACTTTTAAGAAAGTTCTCTTCTCTTCAGGGTTCCTGGACTTCCCCTTTGGCACATTTTACGGTGTTTATTTTTCCTTATTCCAAGGGACCTGGGCTCCTGTTGGAAAGTGATGGAATAATCTCTGCTCAGCACCTGCCATGTTGAGGGAGCACCCCTAACACAGCTTGCCTGGGAGACAGTTTGTGAAATAACGCAGTAACATGTTTGCAGTAGTATGCCTTTTCTCTTATTATCCATTGTTAAATTTATTTTCAATGAAATTATTGAAACAGATTTTGAAAGGAGGCTTGGGTGAGTGTCTCTTCGTCAGTCATTGCAGAGGGATTTATGCCTGGCATTCTTAACACTCTAATAGCTGCTACTTGCAAAGCTCCAACTTGTATTAATTGGGGGGGGGGGGGGTGTATGGGTAGTTGATCCTATGTAATGGGATTGAAATATACATTTGCTGCTGGGTCAACAATACACCTGTTATATTTGTCCATAGTAAAGGGTTGCAGAGCTGTAACAACAAATAAGCCAATGTTTTTGAAAACAATTATATAATAAACTTAAGTCAAATTACAAGCTAACACATCTATTGTAAATAAAATCAAATGTATGGATTCTGACTACTCTTGTAAACTTACTAATGTAACTGGTAGGTAAGATTGTTCTTCTGTCTAATTGATTCTTAACATCTTATCTGTACTTGCTTTTTTAATTCTTGCATGGGGACTCAGATGATTCAAAATGATAGTATATGTTAAATTAAAACTTTCATTTACTGCTTTCCCGTGTCAGTTTCAATGACCCCAGTAAATTTTTTTAACCAGGAAACAAAAGTTTAATTTTTTGTTGGATGCTGTAAACATTCTTAAGATTAATATGGGGTGTTTAAGAGATATTTGCATGTTACACTGGAAAACAATATTGCCCTGGCTAAATATATTTAAAATAGGCATGGTGTACACACAAAACCTTATTGTAACGTAATTTAGTAGTAACAATACCTAATGACCCTGTTATGCTAGGTGTTGTAAAAAATATTTGCCTTGATATATATACTGTGATGCTGAACTCTGACACTTTGTGTCAGCTAGACTTGATTTACATGCTAAATCCTTAACTTTTTTCCAGAAGTTACTATATATACAGATTTTATTTGTAAGTAAATTGACTGCATTCTAGGTATTGTGGATGAAATGTGTAATTTAAATTTTTTGTAGGCTCTATTAGGCGCATGTCTGACAAATGTATAATATACAGTTTGGGTTTGTTGCCTGTGCACTCTAAAACTGATTTTGAATACCAAAAAGTATAGCTCACAGGACACTTCTGCTAAAGTATACGTGTCTCTGTATGGTTTCAGAGTGGTAGCTGTTAGTCTGTATCAGCAAAAAACAATGAGTCCTTGTGGCACCTTAGAGACTAACAGATTGATTTGGACATTAGCTTTCATGGGCTAGAACCCACCAGATGCATAGAGTGGAAAATACAGGAGCAGGTATAAATACATGAAAAGATGTGAATTGTCTTACCAAGTGAGAGGTTAGTCTAACGAGACAGTTCAATTGACAGCAGGATACCAAGGGAGGAAAAATAACTTTTTAAGTGGTAATGAGAGTGGCCATTTCAGACAGTTGACAAGAAGGTGTGAGTAATAGTAGGGGGAAATTAGGTTTAGGTTTTGTAATGACCCAACCACTCCCAGTCTTTATTCAGGCCTAATCTGATGGAGTCTAGTTTGCAAATTAATTCCAGTTCTGCAGTTTCACGTTGGGAGTCTGTGTTTTTGAAGTTTTTTTGTTGGTCTGACCTAAAAGTGGCAATTCTTCAACAAAAACTTGAAATACAGAACTGGAATTAATTTGCAAACTGGACACCATCAGATTAGGCCTGAATAAAGACTGGGAGTGGTTTGGGTCATTACAAAACCTAAACCTAATTTCCCCCTATTGTTACTCACATCTTGTCAACTGTCTGAAATGGCCACTCTCATTACCACTTAAAAAGTTATTTTTCCTCCCTTGGTATCCTGCTGTCAATTGAACTGTCTCGTTAGACTAACCTCACACTTGGTAAGACAATTCACATCTTCATGTATTTATACCTGCTCCTGTATTTTCCACTCTATGCATCTGATGAAGTGGGTTCTAGCCCACAAAAGCTTATGCCCAAATAAATCTGTGTCTCTAAGATGCCACAAGGACTCCTCATTGTTTCTCTGTATATCCCTCATCCCTTAAGAAAGCTAAAACTGTTGCCACTAATGTACTGCAGTAGTGAAAATTTGGTGCTAAGGCCTCTTAATTGTAAAGGTACCTGTTATAAAATTTTAATGTTTCATACTGTTCTCTATAGACTGACTGTTTAAAACCATGCTACTACAGACTCAATTTGGCCGGAAAAAAACCTTTATTTTAATTACTGGTTCTAGCTTTAAAATCCCCTTGAGTCTACTTCCTTCATTGTATGTGAATGAAAAAGGATTTCCTTTAAGACCAGATGATGTCTTATGGAAATAACTCTAGTAATAGTTTCAAATCCTACAGTCATAACTTGTTGGGGACGGCGTGCTTGTGGTGGTTTACTAAGGATATATGCATAAAAGCAGGAGTTTTTTATCCTGTCCCTCTGAAGTTGTAATTCCTTCTTTGATTATCACAATTGCCTTAACAGCATTTGTATGCAAGATCACTTAGGGCCAGAGTACGAGCCTGAGGGTACCAAGGGCAATATCCTATCCTATCTCCTAGAACTGGAAGGGACCTTAAAAGGTCATTGAGTCCAGCCCCCTGCCTTCACTAGCAGGACCAAGTACTGATTTTGTCCCAGATCCCTAAGTGGCCCCCTCAAGGATTGAACTCACAACCCTGGGTTTAGCAGGCCAATGCTCAAACCACTGAGCTATCCCTCCCCCCATCCGTGCAACAAGCCTGAGTTCTGGCTGGAGCACCTATGAAACATTCTTGCTGTCAATGAAAATTCCTTCTGTAGCCTCCTAGGGAGTATGTGTGTGTGCCAGAGCATTAGCTCTGCCAGTCTTAGGCAGTATTGGGGGAAGTTTCTGGCACCTTCCTCTGTCCAAAAAAGAGCCCTGTCAGCTGCTCAGCAGGCGGTCTGAATTTGACCCTTACTGAAGATTGTGATTGAAATGGGGGCATAAGCAACTGGACCAATGAACAAAACCCCTGTTTTTATACAAATATAACAGAGTACAAGAGAAATCAAAAAAATTAGGAACAGTTAACTTTTTCTTTCACACAGCATTAACATGTCATGTCCTTGTAGAATCTTCAAATTCTGGATCTAGATAATTTTTTTGAAGAGTTAAAACATTGGCTTATCATTCAGCACTTGTGAATTACAGTGAAATCCCCCAGCTATAGTCCATGCAAAATCTTTCAGCATCTGATAATGTGTCTTGTTCAAGCTTTAGAGGTGTCTTTATTATGCATTCAGGTTCCTTTGGGGTTTAGAGGCTATGAAATGGATATAATGGAGTTCATGGCTTTTTGTTGGGGAGAACTACAAGTTATTAACTGTTAAAATAAATTAGTAAATTAACACTCTACATATGCTTTTCTTCTTGTCCAGACCAGCATGTTTTGGAAATTTGATCTCCATTCGTCATCCCACATAGACACACTTCTAGAAAGAGAAGATGTAACGCTGAAGGAATTGATGGACGAGGAGGACGTTTTGCAGGAATGCAAAGCTCAGAATCGCAAACTTATAGAGTTTCTGTTGAAATCAGAATGTCTGGAAGATTTAGTTTCATTTATTATAGAAGAACCACCTCAAGACATGGATGAAAAGATCAGATACAAGTAGGAAAATACTACTTATCTGTGAGATTGGGGAGGGGTAGAGAGAAGAAAAATCTGTATTTAATTCCTGTAGGCCAGTCTGTAGTGGCACTGGTATGCTCTTAAAGGTTCTGTCTTCTGCTTTATAGTAAGTCTTGCATTTTCAGAGTGTTTTGTGCTACTTAACATCATGACTCCTATTAATGCTTATACATTTAGTATGGTTAAGCTCCCCTCTTCCTCTGAAAACTCCCCCTAAATTAGGGTTACCATACGTCCGGTTTTTCGGCACTCAAACCCCCGTCCGGGGGGAATTGCCAAAAAGCCGAACATGTCCGGGAAAATGCCGGCCGGGCACTTCCCCTCCTGCGGCTGCTCTGCTCCTCCCCTGACTCTTCGGCTCTGTTTAAGAGCCGAGCTGCCCGAGCGCTACCGGCTTTGGGCAGCCCCCATGCCGCCGGAGCCCGGGAGGGGAAGTGCCCGACCGGGGGCGCAGGGTCCAGAGGCATAGGGGCTGCCCGAAGCCCAAGCACTACTGGCTTCACGG